AGTATTTGTTGTCTTATTAGTTAAATCACTCATCATAACGAATTTTCACTATTCTTAATGGAATTTACTTATTAAATAGTTTTTCTTGGATGAATAGGTATTATATTAATTATGTACATCCCTATACTGATAAATTAAAATACTTTCAACATGTCAAATCACCAGTGTTTTACTAATCATTGTTATTAGAACTTAATGAACTAACAGTAAAAAATGATTATATATTTTAAACAATACATACATTAAATAAAAACTGCGTATAATTTAATATTAATAATGAAATAACATAGAAATAATTAAAACAATGATGTCATTAGACTTATAATAATCAAACAATATGAGTATTATAATGAATTAACATTGCAATATAATAAAATACAAAATACTTATCAAAAAACAATACAGATTTAATGTTTGTATATACTTAACTCTAATGCCATATTAAGAAAACCACTTCCTAATTCAAATATATTGGAAACAATTCTTGTATTCAAATTCATTAAAATATTCATTTCTTGATATTCATAAATTCAGTTGATATACAACCCATTTAAACTTCATCTTCTTTAATTTTAGTTTGTGTGTATATTATTTATTAATCCAAACTCTTACCTTTATCATATTTCTTCTTGTTTTGTTATGATGGAGTGTAGTTTATTTTGTTAGTTATCTTCTTGTTTTCTCTTTGAATTTGTTTTAGACAACACTATGACATTACTGAATAACGAATTGGAGATATTAGTTATACAAAAATCAAGAAAAGTCAATCAATTTAAGAGAAAAGGAATGAGATTAGTCATAATTTAATGAGAAAAACACAGAAAAATGAAAAGAAGGAAAAAGAAAGGAAGAATAATGAGACAGCACCACGTCAAAGAAATAAAGAAAAAGAAAAAAAGGAGAACTAAGAAATATAGATCAATACATTTCTTACGTGGTTGTATTTTAGAAATATAAGCTCCGTTGAAATGTTAGAAGAAGAATGGTAGATAAATAAAGAAATATGTTTAGACATATTTTGAAAACAAACCAATACATTTTTTAGAAAAAGAATAAAAAATCAATAAAAAGTAACTCATAAATACAGAAAGAAAAAGATGACAGATATTTCCACTTTACTTTTATCTTTTCTTCACTTTTCTTAAAAAATTTTTATCTTTTGTCATAATTAATTGTTTTAATATTTTCAACGTAATAAATGTCATAAAAATTCAATTCAATCAATATGCTTGGAACACAGGGAAAGCAACAGACCCCCCTTTGACATTTACTTGGATTTGAGTGATATTATCAGAACCTTCATACATACACTCTGATGCTTGTTTTGTAAGAGCTATAAAATTATCAGCAAGGTCATCATCACTTTGAGAAAGAACTCCAAATGGAATTGAAAGATAGCTGAACGAAGAGGTGTAAATGGAATGCTT